CTTCTTTTGTAAGCCATGGAAAAGCATTAGTAATGTTAATTTTTTCCTCAGGTCCCTGCACCAATTTTTAAAGCAAGCTGATTTTTTTGCCACTCGGGTAATTGAAATTGAGCGAGAAGTTTTGGAAATATCAATTATCTTTTTAAGATGATTAGAATCTAAAATTTATCCTTATTTAGTTCTCTTAGCCCCAAAAGATTGAAAATATTGAACGATTGGAATGTCAAATTAAGATTTCTGGGGTTTGGATGTAATGCTTAACTTTCTCTGTTTTAATATTTGGTAATTCTCAATTATGGATGGATGAAGAATTATACATTAATTGTAATTTTGAATATCTTTCACTCTCCACGTAGGAAAATGCTTATATGATATATTTATTTAGATCTCCTCTTAGTTATTCTTTAATTGAATCTAGCACGTATTTGGTTTGTTCTTTCATGTGGAATAAAAGTTTGTATTTTCTACATTATGTTAAAGTAATAATTTTATTAGATGCATGTTTCTTTTATATTTTGTAGGATGAGAAAGATGTAAAAATTCGAGAATTGACTGTTGAGCTACAAAGAGAGCGAAAGTGATCTGCAGCTTACCAACAACAACTTGACATGGTTTTGATAGAGATGGAAGAGCATTCCAATCACCTATCAAGAAGCATTGAGAACATAGTGCAAAGTGTGAGAGATATCGAATCAAAAAGGTAGGCAGTAGCTTCATTGGCCATAAGCTCGATTAGATATATTGGCTTGTATGTTACTGATACATGTGTAATTATTATTGTAATTACTACAATTCTCCTTAATTTTGTATTTAGTCGCTATATTAATTTGACTTCGTTTGGATTTGTAACTCATAATCCTATAGTTTGGACATAATGCTCCTAAACACAGAGCTATACTTTAAAAACACAGGGTAATTTTAAATTTGAATCTTGGGACTATTTTTTCAGTTCCTAAAATTTAAACCGGAACCTAGGGACTATGTTTTCATTCCTAAATTTTGGGAGTTTGGATATCTGTAGTGACATTGCTGCAATTTAATTCAAAGTATTTGGCCATTTGTTTGTTCTATTTTTGCAAATGGTAGGTGAATATGGTGAATTTTAAAAGTTGGAATAATATGATTTCTGTTGTTATTTTTGTATTTTGATTTGTTTTGTACTAGCAGGTGACTAGGGAGTGTTGTAGTTCTTGGTGGGAGAATTTGAAGAACCTCACAGTATTAGTTTTCTGGTACTGCTATAATTATTTTTCCTTTTTATTTCTGATTTTATTCTCAAGGATCTAACTGTAATTAATATATTTATATGCTTTTTTATGATCAAGTTTGATATTTGTTTCCTAACAAAACTTGATTTAATTACCAGTGATTTAGTGAAAAAATAGGTGGAAAAGATAATAATTTAGTTTTGCCTTTTGCTTTGAATATTTGATCATTGATGATGCTTCACTATTTTTAGTACTATCACTAACTGTAATAGCACAATTATCTTCGAAGAATCTGCATCTATGCACAATCACCTGATTCAATAATTATTTTCTAATAAAGCTCTTTTAATCCAAATAAAAAGAAATAAATTGATTAATTAAAGTTCTTTTTTTATTTTACTTTTCACTAATTTTGTTGTTGTAAAAGACTTTTTTTCTCACATGGTTATTGTTAAGTTGCCATGTGATCATCCTTGCAAATTGCTTTATGCTAAACTGCAATGACAACATAGTGGTAAAAGTCTTGGCTTCTCAATATGGAGAAAAGCAACCTCATGTTTTCTGAATTTATCTTCCTATATTCTATAATCATTTTTCTTTTATAAACAAGATTGTAATTTCAAAGTAGTTGTAGATATCAGGGCCAAATTGTTTGGAAGCTTCTTTGGTTGATTCAGCCCTTTTTAAATGTGTTTTATTTGTATTAAACTGCTATTCATTTGATTGTTAAATCTATATCCTTTATCTGCTATAAAACATGGTGAATTGGTTTCTTCATGACAATTTTTATTTCGATTGAGAAATTAATTTCTTTTCTATATATTTCATTGTCTATTTGTTTGTTGATAACGTTTGTTTTTCTTTCTCCTTTTTCTTCTTTTGTTGTGATTTCACAAAGAGTCAATGCCCATTATGTATCTTAGCTTTTAATTTTGTTAATAGTAACACCCATGTTTTAATTTTGAGTCTGCAAGAACGACATAGCTGAAATGGTGTTTTTGTCATTTATAGTTGCAGTTTTTTGGCTTTCAGAATAAATTAAAATCGATGTATAACAGGAACAGAATTTGGTTTCTAAAGATGCTCAAGTGACAAAGTGAGGAAAGAACTCGTGTTTTTAGTTGTTTATAAAGTTACAAGAACTTTCTTTATCTTTTGCTTGGTATTTTATTTTATTTTATTTTTATGTTACATTGGTCCTTTCAAGTTCTGTTTTTTCATTATTCAATCTTTTGGTACATCTACCCATGTCAAGTGGCCTGGAATTTTTGGTTTGTTTATAATTGGACATCGAGAAAATAGTTGCTGATGTCAGTAAAAGAAGAAAAAGAAATGTTTTTCGTTAGGACACAGTTGAATAAGAATTTTAGAAAGATTGCAGGGAGAAAAAAGAATCATACAAAACTAAAGTTATTGCGTAGTTTGAAATTCCAATTTAAGAAAAAACCTTGCAGTTTAGAGTCATTTCCAATATTCATGTATGATTCACAAGGTTTTAAAAAAAAAATATAGAAATGGAATTAGGTTGGAGAATAGTAATTGTTAAGTGCATATATAATCAGAATCAGTCTATGTGTACCTCAGGTGAAGGAGGGGGAGTAATCTGGCTCAAGTATCTTTACGTAGAAATGACAAATCTTCTGCGCTGCTTTTTAGTTATTTTTTTTTTTTTTTTTTCCCCCTTCATTTTTATAGATTGTAGTTTACTCGTTACCCATACTTATTCTTTATATACTTTTCCCCTTTGCGTTTCAGGCCCTTGCCTAGCAATATTTCTTCTTACAAGGTATTTCCTTTTGTTCTCAAGTTCAGATTGTGGTTTCATTGTTTAGTGATCAGAATTATACTTTATGATATTCCCCTGTTAAACATTATTACTACGGTTTTGTTTATCTTTGCATCTGAATCTGGTTTGTTGGGTCTCATAGCAAAGGAAAAAAAAAATGAATAGATTTATGATTTCAAATTCTGACCATGTGAAGTGATCTTCAGATGAGTTTATTGAGGTGAATATTACCATTTAACCTCTCTTTTTGGCTTACTTTTAATTTATGAATGTATTACATTTATGTTTTCTAATTATTTTGTGTGTTTTAGGTACAAAAGATGAATATCATTGTTAAGAAATATGATTTCAGAGGCTGCTTTTAATAAAAAAAAAAAAAAAAAAAAAAAAAAAAAAAAAAAAAAAAAAAAAAAAAAAAAAAAAAACTTAGTTGATTTTAGAGATGACTATGAAGTCACTATCAACTTGAGCAAAGAAACCCTTGCAATTTGCATGTTTATTTGTTGAGGGCTATGACTTTGAAATACGCCAGTTCATATTCATATGCACAAAATTATATACTTTTTCTATTTTTAATAGAAAATTTCAGGATTTACTTATACTTGAAGGAAATTTAAGCTACACGTGATCATAGGTAAATCTTAGCTCAAAATTCTCAATATTTGTTGTGAAATAAACAATAAATTGATGTTAGTTTTACCTTAAATATTTCTTTTTTAAAAAAAAATCGCATCTTTTTCTAAATGCAAAATGTTTTATTGATTTTTATTGTTATATTTAAACTATTTATATATTTGAATTAAAAATCAATATTTATTCATTTTAGATTGCAGCTAATTGTGTTGACAGTGGAAAGAAGTCATGAAGGTTATTGAATTGAGAATTAAGATAAAGTGGAAATCTAATTAATAAGTTATTTGTCTCTCCTTCTATTTTTTTTTTCTTTTCTAGAAATTATTGGTAAATATTATAAATTAATATGAATCCTATTATAAATTGACTATATTGAGCTTGTTTTATATAAATTGATATGATGTTACATCTAAGAAAGCTAGCGTATATATGATATTAATAATTTCTTTAAGCAAATTTAGGTTAGTAAAAAAATTCAGAAGTTAACGACATAGGCAACAACAAAATGATTGATGTATATTTTGTGAAAAGGGGTTTTCAAAATTTAAAATTTAGAATCTACATTTTGGACTCCAATTGAAAGTGACCACTCTCCTAAAAAGAATTCTAATTCAATTCTTGAACAAGAGCCAACTCTTATATGTATTCTTTACCTTTCACTATACGGGTCTTTAGACACCGGTGACTGGGGTTCCACTTATTCATTCTATACCAATATAATAATATCACACTCCCCAGCGATTCGAGCTATCTATCATTAGCGAAATAATTAGATCATGGGACTAAATAATGAGGATGGGTGCTTATTTGAAGGAAATGGTCTGTTTGAAGGAAATGGTCTATTTTGAGTGAAATTAGCTCTCTGCTAAGTAGTATGTAACTACTAAAGCTAGAAGACAAAATACATGAGCTAAGCATTTACAACTGTAATAGCTAACTAATTTTCCCACCAACCTTCTCCTTGTGGTGTGTTAATATCTTCTCTTTATTCTGTGTTTAACATTTGTCGAGTATTGTTTAGCAAGTAGAGTGTTTCAACCAAAGCTTAAGTGTTGGACAATGAGTTTAAGTCAAATCTGAATAATATAAATAAGTTGGATTAGAAAAGAATTTGAATCGTATTCAAATTAATATTTTTATGGTCAATGTTTATCTAAATAAAAATAAAAATTTTAAATTTTAAATAGCCTAATTATCAATGTATGGATTTAAAAAAATTTTAAATATAACTTTTAAAAATATACGTCCAATTGAATTGTAGAAAAATAAGAAGAAACTTCTAAAAATTTTTAGAAAAAGATAATTGCAATTGTGATTATAAGAAGAAGCTTTGAATCTTCTTTTTGTTTTAGTTTTAATATGTATACATATAAAGAAAGATTAGTATCCCTTTAATTTAGCATCCTCAGCCATTTTCTGGTCCTTGCTCTTGTTTTTTCTTCTTCTTCTTTTTTTTTTTTTTGTCTTAGTAATTAGTCTTTGACCATTGCACTCATTTTGTTTGAGGGAGTAAGAAAAGAAAAAATTGTAAAGTTATTACCTTAAAAATACCCTTGTCATGAGATGTTAAATATTTTTCTCAATTTTACAATATTCCCTTTCTGTATTTAATATTTTGTATATATTCGTAGAGGTGATGTTATTTTTATAGCTTTTTTTTAAGCAATTGCAATTCCACCTGTATGATCTATGTGAATTTAGAAAATTGAGAAATTTATGAATGGTTTAGTGTATAAATTATCAACTTCTGCTTTTATTTATATTTTCTTTCTTCCTTTCTTTCTTTCTTTCTTTCTGTGCCTCTTCCAATATTTATTAGATTTTATCTCCCTTCCTCTTGTGTGAAATTGGTTTATCCTCATCTGGTGTGGTGTTTATATATGTCACGGTGCCAGAATCTCGGAGCCTTTGGCACGCGTGTGGCGCCTAGACTTTGCTCATAGCCAAGGCCAGCCATGCATATTCGAAGGGTCTTAGCATCCTTTCAGCCCATTGCATATTCGGGAAGGGTTCTTAGCATCCTTTTCGACTGTTAGGCCTCATCTAGAATGCCTATCCAAGGATCTCGCACTTACCGTATATGGGCTCAATGCCTTCGGGCATCCCGGGGGGGGCGGGCATAGTCCTGCCTATACCGTAAAACCCCCCATTGCAGGAGAGAGGCTGCACTATAGGCCCTCGGCCCTATAGTGGTCCATAGAGCTCCTTCTCTATTTGAGACATCAGTCCCTCTTGACCAGACATTATGCCCGCACCTAGCTCACTAAGGCCGGCCCCGCTTCTGGCTCGGGTCGGCGAGAGCATACGCCATGTCTTCCCCTCTCATATTCTTGGTCCATATCTATACAACATGTTATTTCTCGCCTCCAATAGCTACTTCGTCCAAGGGTTCATCATGGTAAGGCCACCATGGGTAGGGATGCTGGACTCACACCCCCCTACAATATAAGACATTCCATTTATTCTTCTTTTGAAGTCATACAATGTATAGTTTATCCATTAATTTTTTTTTTTTTAAGAGTTTAGAAGTCAGCATGTTCCTTCAATTGAAATTAATGGTTGAAGTTCTTTGGCTATGTTCAAGTAAATAGCTTTTCAGCTAGCTTTTAGCATTAACCATATTCAAAACTCTATTTCTATCAATTGTACTGTTCGGTGATATAGTTATTTATAATTAACTTTTAGAGTTTGGGTGATCTTTTTTAATCAAAAGTTGAACCACTCTAACATTGAACGTTGAGGGTTTCATAGGAGATTTTTTTTTCTTACAATCCTACCTATTTTATTGTTGCTGATTCAAACTAATTAACATTCTAATGTCATTTTTAAGTTAAACAATATTTTTAACCGAACCACTTCTAATTTAAACACTATATAAAATTGAAGCTTCAGCAAAAAGCTATAACTAATAGCTAAGACTAGTAGAACAATTAACATCTACTACAAAAGCCTACTATCTTACTAAAATAGTTAATATTTGTCGAAAACAAGCCCTTTTGTAGTTTCATTATACTCCCTAAGTAATTCAAGTTAGATAGAAAAAATTTTTCAAAAAAATTTGTATTACCTAGCTACTTTCAAAATTGCTCAATAGTTCTATCAAGTATTTTTTAGACAAAATGGATTAAAACGACAAATGTTTTGGTAAATAATCAAAAATTTTTGATTCTTGAATACCGAATTTACTCCAAACAATGTCATTTTATTTTTATTTTTTAAAAAAATCCAAACTCTTATATTGTAAAATCGATCAATTCGGTAAATCTGTTATAAATGGTAAAATATTCATTTGGTAAATCAGTAAATGGCAATTTTCGATGAACGGTTAAAACTGAACACTTAATATTCACAATCCTATTTATCCAAGGATCTCGCACTACCGTATATGGGCTCAATGCCTTCGGGCATCCCGGGCGGCATAGTCCTGCCTATACCGAAACCCCCATTGCAGGAGAGATGTGCACTATAGGCCCTCGGCCCTATAGTGTCCATAGAGCTCCTTCTCTATTGAGACATCAGTCCCTCTTGCCAGACATGATGCCCGCACCTAGCTCACTAAGGCCGGGCCCCGCTTCCTGGCCTCGGGGCGGCGGAGAGCATTACGCCATGTCTCCCCTCTCATATTCTTGGTCCATATGCTATACAACATGTTATTCTCGCCTCCAATAGCCTTACTTCGTCCATAGGGTCATCATGGTAAGGCACCATGGGTAGGGATGCTGGACTCACACCCCCTACAATATAAGACATCCATTTTATTCTTCTTTTGAGAGTCATACAATGTATAGTTTATCCATTAATTTTTTTTTTTTAAGAGTTTAGAAGTCAGCATGTTCCTCAATTGAAATTAATGGTTGAAAGTCTTTGGCTATGTTCAGTAATAGCCTTTCAGCTAGCTTTTAGCATTTAACCATATCAAAACTCTATTTCTATCAATTGTACTGTTCGGTGATATAGTATTTATAATAACTTTTAGAGTTTGGGTGATTTTTTTATCAAAAGTTGAACACTCTAACATTGAACGTTGAGGGTTTCATAGAGATTTTTTTTTTCTTACAATCCTACCTATTTTATTGTGCTGATTTCAACTAATTAAACATCTAATGTCATTTTAAGTTAAACAACTATTTTTACCGAACACTTCTAATTTAAACACTATATAAATAACTTCAGCAAAAAGCTTATAACTAATAGCTAAGACTAGTAGAACAATTAACATCTACTACAAAAGCTACTATCTACTAAAATAGTTAATATTGTCGAACAAGCCTTTTGTAGTTCATTATACTCCCTAAGTAATCAAGTTAGATAGAAAAAATTCAAAAAATTTGTATACCTAGCTACTTTCAAAATGCAATAGTTCTATCAAGTATTTTTTAGACAAAATTGGATAAACGACAAATTGTTTGGTAAAATAATCAAAAAATTTTGGAATTCTTGATTTACCGATTTACTCCAAACAATGTCATTTTATTTTATTTTTTAAAAAAATCCAACTCTTATATTGTAAATCGATCAATTCGGTAAATCTGTTAGTAAATGGTAAATATTCATTTGGTAAATCATTAAATGCAATTTCGATGAACGGTTAACTGAACCAACTTAATATTCACATCCTACTTGTGATACCTTCAATTACTACTTTGAACAATCTAACACTTCAATTTATACAATTAAAATTTTATAATTTTATAAGAATACAATTAAAGTTATAATTTTACAAAAGAATAAAGGCCAATTTAAACCCTAAACTTATTTAGAGTAATTAAAAAAATCATGTTTGACCTTTTTAGGCAGTTTAATCATTGAGCTTATTTAGAATGATTAAATTTAATCCTAAATTATTCACTATAGGTATCTCTTATATAGATATTTATTAAAACTATAGTTTAGATTAAACTATATAATTTATTAACAAATAATTGAATATGGAATAAAGGAAAAAGATACAAGAAGTATATTTCTGTCTCTCTCTAATTTAATTGTTGATTTTAAGTTCATAAATATGGACCAATTTGAATATTTTAGAACTATTATTTATTACTGAGTTTATAACATATGAAATCCATGTAGAATTGAACAAATTAAAGTTATATTATAAATTTTGTGAATTTAAAATGTGTTGAAAAAAATGATGTTTTATAGATTTTAAATTTTTATGAAAAATTATAATCGTACCCTTATATTTTGCGGAAAAAAATTACTTCACCCTTCTCTTTTTAAAAATAAACTATTATACCCTCGTATTTTAAGATTATCGTACTAGATTGTGCTTCCGTCCAAAAATTTGCGATTTTGGACATTAAATGCATTTAAATGACCAAAATGACCCTGATTCCACCTTCCTCAATATCTCATTTCTTAAAAATTAGATTTTGGATGTTTTTGACGAAATGAAGTGATTCAACCTAAAATTATCTTCTGAAAAAAACCTTAAAACCAATGAAGCAAACCAAAAAACAGAAATTTATTACAATAATTGCATTCGAATCTCATTTCTTGAGCCAATCAAATACGTTAATGCCTTGAATTCCCAGATATATTCATATATAAACAAACAAAAATAGAGCTAAGAAAGCAACAACCAATGTTGTTTTCTTTTAGAATTTCATGCTTGCTTTCAAACTATAATAATACACAGACGAAATCGAGTGTATTGAAGGAAAAAAAAAATTCAAAATCAGATTGATGATAAATCCAAACCTATGGTTGCTTTGATGAGACTCATCCGTTACATGAAATGCGTTCTCTATAGAGTGTCCGTGCCGACTCTGATCACCGGAGTAAAAAGATATCATCAAAGGTTAATATTAATTCCAACGGAATCAGACCCACAACTACAATCAAGTAAGTTTCTTTTTAACTTTAAAATAATCGAAAAATCCATGAATAAAGTCCAATAACATATTTAAATACTTTAATCAATATATTGTTAATTTAAGCACAAATTGAAACAATAAAGAAGGCTAAAAGAACAATGGAAGAGAAAGAGAGGTATTCTGGGAAAAAAAATATTCTCTCTTTAGAATGTTAAATTTTGCTTTGGCTTGTACAATAAAATTGCAAATATTAGACGGAAGAGGAATTTAGTTTAACAGACATAAAATACAAGGGTATAATAGTCTATTTTTGAAAAAATAAGGGTAACGTATTTATTTTTTATAAAATATAAGGGTACGATTATAATTTTTCCTAATTTCTATTTAAGTGTCGGAAAAGTTTGATTTGAGTGTTTTTAGTGCAGAACAAATAGGGATAAAATCCAATTACATTGAATTGAATCAATTCATTAGGTTGCAAAACCACAAGTTTAAATGCTAAATTGGCTCAAAGATTCAATATAATATTTTTAATCATTTTAAACAATTTCCGATCAAAAAATATAATATTAAATATAATATCATATAATATTAAATATAATATCATATAATATTAAATATAATATCATTAAATATAATATTTTTAATAATTTTAAATAAGACCAAAAAATAATGCAATCTTTTCGACCTTTCTAAACAACTTAAGAACAAAATTAAGCTTCATTCTTTTTACAAACTAAAGTTTTCACAAGTATAATTTCACAAATTGAAACCGCGAACATAAAAGTTAATGTTGCCATTAATTATTGGTCCATTGGATAAATTTCCTCCTCAAGTTTACACAATTTGCTTCGTGGCATTCTCAAATTTGCAGGGGACTATCACGACCCTATAATTTTCACATTTCAATGATAACTATGCAGCTAAATCATTAAAAAAACTCATAAGATAAAAATAATACTTTATTTATTAAATTGGATACAGTTTAAAATTAAATTGCTATTGTAACTAAAATTGAAGTTCAAGATATTTGAAAAAGAAAGTTAAATTTAAGATTTAAGTAAAACTACCCGCAATATGATTTAGCCTAAATATACTCTCACCGAAATGTAATACCTTTATAAAAATTCAATTATAATCCTACCATTTTACATTTTAGTTTGATGATGGATTTAATTATTACTAAAATGTAAAAGTGTAAAATCACAACCAGTTCTCTACAAACTCGAGGGTGTCACAAGATAAATCGCGTAAACTTTAAAAGCAAATATATACATTTGGCCGTTAATTTTTCTTATAAACTTCACCGTTAGATTTATATATTTTGCACTATATTTTGCACTTATGAATTATCGATAGGGGTGCAATTTAGAATGACCCTCATTTCAGTTCCGTTCCAAAACATTTTAAAATTTGAAATTGCATCCCACTTCATTTCAAATATTTTTTGAAATTTAAAATTTTATTCTATACCCATTGAAATTCAATAGGTCCAAATTTCTCAACTATAAGTACAAATCCAACATTTTATGACATTTTTTAAGATATAAATTTTTAATTTAATAAGGAATAATCAACATATTTTTATATATACATACTAAAAAGACAATTAAATTTTTAAAAATAATAAATTAATATCACATAATTAAAAATTAAAATATTTCGTCTTACATGTTTGTAGATAATAGGTATACTTCACCCTTTACATTTAATAATTCAATTCATACAATTAACTACTTAATAATTAATAATAAGATTGTTATAAAATCAACAAAAGATAATATCATTCATATTAAGATATATCAATATATTTAGTCACCAAATCTATTAAAGTGTTAAATCCACAAAATATATATATATATATTATGAGTCTTAAGCATACTAAAATATTTCGACCTTATAATCTAATAAAAAGTAAGATATGATAACTAAAAGCATAATTTTCAACCCAAGAAAATAAACGAGTATTCAAGCACATAATATGTATAAAATATAAATTAGGGTTGTGTTAAATTATAAATTACGTAGTTTTAAAATTAAATAAAAAAAAATTAAAGATATTTTATTCTAAACTTTAATTTAATATTTTATTTTACAATATATAATTTGCAAATAGACAATAATAAAATAAAAATTTGACATATGGCTTGAAATATGGAATTTTATTTTTTTGTTTCCATTCTATACTCCATATACTAATATTTTAAAAGTTAAATTCCATTTTAAACTCCGCATTTCAAAATTCCATTCCAAATTAACATTTGGTTTGGGATTTCGAATTGGATTGGAATTTTACCTCAGGAGAACAATAATATTGCACAAAGGCTTAAAAATGCTGAAAAGGAGCAGAGATAAATAGCATATGCTATCATACAACATCTCCTGCTATCAATGGAGGAACAAATCTGTAACCTTGCAGAGTCTGCTCAAAGATATGACCAACTTTGAGTAATTTCTCCTGAAAACAAAATGGAAAAAGAAACTAAGCATAAAAACCCATCAACTATATCAATTCACGAAAATGCAGAGGAAAAACTCAAACAGAATCTGCAAATTAACTGCATATTTCACAATGATAAGATATATTCATTTTCCGGTGATCTATATGCTAGCTGATAATATTGTTTTAGCTGACATTCAATGGGGGAAAACCAAAAACCAAAAGGTTAGTTTACAAGCAATGTAATTTTAGTAGTAAACTGAGACTCAAGAAAGCTACAAGAAATGATTGGATTAAAAAACCAATTGCTGAACAACCAAAAGGTCGAAGTTATGGAAGATCCAAGTTGCAGCTCATCGTGCAACCATATAGAACTAGAAGATATTACCTGATAAACTAATAGCTAAAATTTCTTTTTCCTGATAAATCCTATTTCAAAGTGATTTATTTTTCCAAATATTAGCAACAAGCATAACCACGGTTCCAGAACCGCCGGTTTCAGTTTCAAAAAAGATGAAACCGGAACCAAACCACTTTTAGACGGTTTTAAAACCGCAATCGAAACCGGAATTAGATAACTTGTTCAAGTTTTTTTAACGTTTTTTATTTTCTAGCTAAATAAGAAAATTAATAGCAAAAATAGTATTAAATTAAAAAACACTAAAAAAGTAAATACATAATTTTAAAATTCATTAAAAATTATAATTTGTATGTAAAAAATATATATTATAAAGTGGCAAAGATTAAAATTAAAAATATTTGAATAAGGAGCAATTTTTTATTTTTTCCTCTTTTCCACTTACAATTTACAAGTTGTATTTATATTAACAAATTTTAAGATGGTAGAAATTAACTTTAGCAATTAAAAATCATGTGTTATCTTTTCTTTTTTTTTTTAACGGTTTCAAACCAGAATCGCTGGTTTCAAACCAAAACCGGCGGTTTTAATCTTCAAATATAAGGAACCGCAACCGAACCTTAAATACCCTGATTTGATTACGGTTTGGAACCTTATTTGGACCGGTTCGGTTTCGGTCGGTTCCGGTTTGAAACCAACCGTGGTCATGCATAATTAGCAAATAACCATGCCGGATTGCAGCCCGTTTCTTTTAATGTCTTTCAAATTGGAAATAAAAGTTAGAATAACCATTGGCCAAGAATGAGATGTCAATACCTCATCAAATGCGGCACCGATAATTTGAAGGCCAACAGGAAGTCCTGCAGGACCCCCTTCGACAAATCCACATGGCAAAACTAATGCAGGTAACCCTGCCAAATTAACATTAACCTGCAACAAGGAAAAAATTGCTATACATATCATGATGAAAAGAAAATAGAATCAAGTAACTTTGCCATGATACTAGCAGAACTGTGAAGGAAATAAGGAAGGTAAGAAAGCAAAAAATTAAACAAAAGATGAATTCAAAATAAAGGGCACGTTAAAATAACCCTTGAAATAAGAAAAATTCGAAGTACTCTTGGCACAATTAACAATAAATTTTACTAATATAAACATTTTGAAGAGCTGAAGCATCCATTTTGAAGTAAAAATAAAAATGCTGGACAAAAATATGAAAAACCTCTGTTCTACTTGTCAACAGCAGGTCTGTGTATTTGTGAAGAAAGTCATTTGACTATCATCTGGCCGTGTTAAGTTCATGATCCTATACTGATCCCAAGTAACAGAATTACCTCCTCAATCTAAAATACACCTTTTCTATTTTATCTTTCAATCCTCATCGAAAAAGCATAATAGTCCAATGTTGAAAATCAAATCTTCATCAAAATTCAACCCCTACCCACAAAGTTAAAAAGAAAAGGAAGGGAAGGGGATGCAAATAGTCAGGCAGAGTAGAAAGAAGCACAAAAATGCTTACGGTCATAATGTCACCGGCATACATTGCCAACGGATCATTTTTCTTTTCTCCTGTAAAGATTAAAAGAATTGGACACTTATAAAAAGGGACAATAAGAAGTCAAAGCAGAGGCAGAAGGTCAAAAAAACAAGCCACAAGAAAGTGATGTGTAGAAATACCAATTTTATAAGCAGCAGATGGAGCAGCAGGACAAATTAGGATGTCATTTGCATCCAACGCTGCCTTGAAGCTTTTCCGAATTAAAGTCCTCACCTGAATAACTATTACAATCATAAATTTCTTCTTGAAGATCTTAAAAACTATAGCAAGAATTATGATTTTCAGAGAAGAGAACCCATATGAAATTACCGTAAGTGGTATCTTAGTGGTGTTTGGTAAAACTGAAAAGTAAGTGCTGAAAATTTAAAGCTTGAATATTAAGTGCTAAGTAATTTACATGATGAAGTTTTAAAATTGTAGAATTATTTAAATACTTATTGAATTAATGCATCCAGTGAAATTTTTCAGTTAAAATTTTTAACTTATTATTTTAAGTAAACGATATGTAGATAAGCATTATCAAACAACTTAAAACTAACAAATTCTGAAAAATGTTAATTTTAATTGAGCACTAAACGGTGTTATGAAACTCCACCTAACATACTTAGATATTCAAAAACATACAAGACTAGCAAAATTTATTCCAAGCCACTTGTTTAAATCTGTCAATAAGAAATTCAAGCTCTGTAGAGGAACATGACGCTGAAAGCCTGAACCCATTGAAAACACCATGGTTCCTGGTAATCACATTCATCTTTATCAGAGATGTGCTGGGTGCATCATACATGCACCTTTTTCAAGAGACATGTTAGATTTACATGCCCACTTATTTACCTGCTGGGCACGCTTGTAGTATGCATCATAATAACCAGCTGATAAGGCATATGTTCCCATCAAAATTCTCATTTTGACCTGCAAGTAAACAAATGACATTGCTTCAAGTTTTGTGAAAAGTACAACTACAATTTACATTTTCCTTTTTAACCAAGTAATGGTTAGCGTTCAGGTTATCCATGATAGTGGGAGCAGGCAATAAGATCCTTGGGTATTAAATAATCCATCCAACTTTCAAATCTACAAACTTAAGCATAAGTACAACAAATTTATTTACTGTGACTAAGGTATAAATGAGCTGAGCCAGCTCGCGAGATGTTCGAGCTCAACTCCAAAAAATTTCGAAAAAGTTCAGGTCCAATTGAGCTCAAGCCTGCTCGTTTAGCAAAAGAGCTGAGCTCGACCTAACAATGTTTAGATCAAAAGCTCGTCGAGCCTTGCCAAGCTTATATATATATATATATATATATATTCAGGTCCCAATTGAGCTTCCAAGGCCCTGCTCGTTTAGCAAAAGAGCTGAGCTCGGACCTAACCAATGTTTAGATCAAAAGCTCGTCGAGCCTTGCCAAGCTTATATATATATATATATATATATATAATATATATATATATATATAACATTTATTTTAAGCTTACTCAAGCCTTGAGCCTCGACCCTAAAATTTTCAAGCTCGTCCAGTTTCGAGCCAAGCTCAAACTAAGCTTCAAGTTTGGCAAGTTCGAGCTCAGCTCTACTCATTTACAGCCCTAACTCTGACCACTTGAGATGATACATACCTCAGGACCAAATCCTTTTGCTCGAGAATCTCCATAAAGCAAATTTAATTCATCAGCAACAGCTTGATTTCCATACCTGGACGACAAGCAGACGGTGTATACTTATACTTGAGCATATATACAAATATAATGAGTCCAGAAAAATGAGAATCCAAGAGGGGGTTAGGTGATAACTATTGTTAAAGCAAGTTCTTTTCACAATGGGCTTCACAGTTGGTTGCTTAGTAATACAGTTAGTATAAACAAAACCTCTCAACCAAAGCATTAAAAATAAACGATGATAGATTGTGTTTACCCTATTATGATATTTCCAATTTTACCAGAATAAATATTGTAAAGCCACAAAAAGGGACAGTGCTAGAAAAGAAAAAGTACAAGGTGTTTTAACTAATTTTTTAAAATACCCATAGTTTAAAGGAAATATGCGACACCTGTGGATTCAGTGCTAATATTAGGTGGTTAGCTCTATTATATTTCATCTGAAACCTAGAAGAAGAAACCACTCAGATCTGCATCTCTCTCTCTCTCTCTCTCTCTCACTCTCTCATGTGCAATCAGTAGCTCATTTGCCGGCAATGCAGCATGAAGACCTAGTTCAACTTGAAGGCATTTTAGCTTTATTCTCTTTCATCTATAGCTCAAGTGCAATAAGTAACCATTTACGGGCAACGCAACATGAAGGCCTAGTGCAACTTTAAGACACTTTAGCTTTATTCACTTTTATTTTTAGCTCAAGTGCATAAGCCATCAAATATGCCCTCTCAAAAAAAAAAAAAAAAAAAGGAATCAAATATTGCCCTCTCAAAAAAAAAAAAAAAAAAAAAGGAATAAAAAAAAAAAAAAAAAAAGGAATTATATAACCAAGTAATTAAAAGTTAAAACTTGAGAAGATAATAGATACAAAGTTATGATTCCAATATAGGCAACAAAATAAATTTGAAGGAAATAAATCTGTCAAAATATCACTTGACACCATCATAAAGAGGAAGAAGAAGCAACACAATGAAGTAATCAAAACTTGAGAAAATAATAGATACACAAGTAACAATTCCAATATAAGCATCAAAATAAATTTAAAGGAAATAATTTCGTTAGGATATCACCTGACACCATCATAACGTGCTAAGTTGGAAGATGATTCTGATGCAGCAAGAATATAGTATGCTGGTAAACCAAGGGAAAAAGATGGTAGTGAAACCTGAAAATCAATATTTTAAAGTGAATGGAAGCGAATAAACAATGTTTAAAATGCAAATTCACAGGTTAAACAAGAGAAATGTTAAGCAAGGAAAGGTTGAGAGTTAAACCTCTGTCACAATGCATCCTAATTCTTCTAGATGCGAGGCGGCACCATTAATTGCAGATTTTACTCCATTATCTACACCATCATCAAGAGTTTCACGGATGAGACCAATCCTCAACCCCTTCAATGGTCTAGATTCCACAAGATTTATGGAAGTGAATTGAGATGTATAATCAGGAACCTCCTGTAGTGAGATTTTTTTGCAAATCATTACAAAATGAGAAACCCAAAGTCCAAAACTCAGAAAATCAAAATGTAGCACTTGAAAGAATGAAATAATAACACCATGTGAATTTTTTTTTTCAAGGCTTCCTTTAAACAAGTATAGTACATATAAAGTGATGTATAAATATTGTTTACATAAAAGACGTTGCCATTCCTATTACAATGACCACATACAATTTTTAGTTGTCTCATGGATTAACAAAATAACCAAATAAGAATACAAGTGCCATGAAATGGAAGGATATGAGATCATAATCATGCAAACATGAAAAGAATTCACAGACTTCAATAAATAAAGACAAGTGCAAAGAAGGTAGATGAATTCTTACTCTCCTACTGCTAGTGGCATCATATCTATCATGACCAGAAATTGCATGAAGAAGGATGCCAGTATCAGCAACTGATGTACCAAGGCATCCAATAACATCAAGCGATGAAGCATATGCCATGAGTCCAAATCTTGAGACACGCCCATAAGTTGGCTTCAAACCAACAACACCACAAAATGATGCTGGCTGTCTTACACTTCCACCAGTATCACTTCCCAATGATACCATGCATTGCCTAGCAGAAACAGCTGCAGCTGATCCACCTGAAGATCCACCAGGCACCCGAGACACATCCCAAGGGTTTGAAGTCACCTAATGAATTAAGATACGCATCACCTGAGTAAACCAACTCCAGTTACCAGCATGAAATGTTGCAATATTAACTAAAAAAATCAGCTCCATATGCATTTGATGCTCAAAGAGATAAACAAATTAACAAATTAAGAATTATACCAGTATGGCAGGTAGGAGAATTCAATAGATCAGAAGAGTATTTTAACGCCAAAGTGAAATAATTAAGAAAAAAAAATGCCTAGTAATCACTTGAAGACATGAAGGTAAAGGAAAAAACAAAGTTTCCTGGTAGTAATGTTATTGGAATTATCCAAGTATGAGATCAAAAGGAGACATTTTATCATGTTTTATGCAAATGTCTACAAGCTGAAGTATTTTCCCCAGCACCCAGCTAAGAACAAAATGAAATGTGAAAGGATACTCACTTTTTAATATGCATATATAAACATAAATACAAAGATAAAGAAATGTATATACATAGAGATATTCAAACGTAAGAATCCAGTTGCAAATAATGTTTCTTTGGGTGAATTGACATGATATCAATTATAAAGTTGACATTCAAAGGGGGAAAAGCATTTCCTTCCAAAAATTCTATAGATTTAAGCTAGAAAGATATCAAAGTACATCGAGATTCAGTTAAGCCACAATTACATAATCTTGGTTTCAAATTAGAATAACTTAGGACTGTAAGCATTCTGCTCAAATTTTCACTATTCAATTAACCAACGATTTCAAGATTACTAGTTAAAACTCACATTCTATCATATAAACAATAATCAGGACAGCAAAAGCAACAAATTGAAGCAAAACCCATGAAAATATTTCCTTCCGATTTAAAGGAAAGGGAAAAAGAATCTCAAACCTTAAAACCAGAACCTTCAGTTGTGCTTCCCATACCAAACTCATCCAAATTAGTTTTTCCCACCACAATGGCACCCTTCTCCTTCATTCTCCTAACTGTTGTCGCATCATACGGTGCCTGATAATTCTCCAAAATGCGGGACCCACCAGTAGACGGCATATCGGCCGTACATATATTATCCTTAACCCCAACAAGCACACCAGCAAGTGGACCCACATCCTCACCCTTGTCAATCTTATCGTCTATCTCTTGGGCCTGTTTCAATACGTTATCGGAGATGTGGAGGAACGAGTTGAGTTGTGGCTCGGTGACTCTGAGGCGAGCTAAGTAGGACTCAGCGAGTTGGGTTGCAGTGAGGCTGCGACATAGCAGAGAGTGACGAAGGGTGAGAATTTGTGAAGAGTAAGGGGATGGGTCTGTGAGGGCAGAAGTAGTGACTGGCAATGAGTTTATGGAAGACGACAACGACGACGAAGAAGAAGAAACAGAAGTAAAGGTGAGAGAGCGAGGCTTAATGGAAGAGAGGTGGTGTAAAGGAAAGCGAGAGAGAGACCAAGGAGGTTGCAGTGTGGATAGCATTTTCTTTTATTTTTTCTTTTGGGTTTCAACGCAGCATAGGAAAGGCAGCGGGCAGGTACCCACTAGTCACTAGAAATCAACTACACAAACCCGATTATCAATTTCTGTGAAGGAATAAACTAACTATGCCCAAATCCGCTTAGGATTACCAGAACCTGAATCTGAACCCAAAAATGCAACAAAAAAAAATATAAAAAATACATTAAAATTCAACTTGAAATAATAAAACAATTCAACCTGTAGTATTCTAGAACGACAGTACCAGTAATGTTAAAATAGAAGAAAAGAATTAAAATTCAACATAAATAAATAAAAAAAAAATGCAACAAAAAAAAATATAAAAAATACATTAAAATTCAACTTGAAATAATAAAACAATTCAACCTGTAGTATTCTAGAACGACAGTACCAGTAATGTTAAAATAGAAGAAAAGAATTAAAATTCAACATAAATAAATAATACATACAACTAGCTACAGAAAATTTAATAAAAGACTAAAGAGAAAATTATAATTAGCTACAGCACATTTTTTTCCTAATTTAAAAAATAAAAAGCAACGGTGAAGAAAAATTCCTAATCACATTACTAATCATCTAAACATATACATTTTTCAGGAAATTAATTAGCTTCATCCAACTCAACAAGAATCTTTGAACCTCAAAATACATAACCACATTCCAAGATTTAGATTTTTACAAGAAAGAAAGTGAAGATAAATTCAATAAATAGAGCTCCTCTTTCATCTAGGATATACATATAATACTTTCATCTAAAAAGTAAACCATTTGAGATGGAGAATAACAAATAAAACATGCACAAAACCCACAAACGAAAAAATAAAACAATAAACATATATCTCCCTGCTAAACCCACAAATTAATTCAACAATATATTCAACAACCCCTCCACTTTGTCTGTTTATATGTATTTATACAAAAAGAAAAAAGAAATAGGAAAAGGGACGAAGGAGAAAAAAAATTAAATGGACAACGAAATAAGATCAAGAATGCAAATGGAGGACCTGGCACTGGTACTACGGTTGAAGAGCAGAGACTGCTGCGGAGGCGACGCCACGCACGGAAGCAACGGGGAAGGGGTAGAAAAAACAATAAGACTGTCAATGGGTAGAACTGTAGGAGGAGAGAGCGCAGGGAGGATACATTGAGTTGAGAGGATGTTGTTTTGTTTGTATCAATGAAATGCAACCCTCAGCTAAAACGACGTAGTTTTGTTTGTGGCTCCTTTTTTTTTTTATATAGTTTTTTACGAGAGTGTAACACGAGAACTTCCCGAGGGGTCACTCATCTTAGTACTACTCTCGTCTAAGCACATTTAACTTCAGAGTTCTGATGGGATGTGTCTCCTACATAAAAATTACGTTGATAATGATAATAATCAACTATTAATTAAAACGCTATAATTATATTTCCAATATTATATAATTGCAATAATAATAATAATAATAATAATAATAAGTAAAGTATTAAGTTTAATACTTTTTATTAGAGAATATATCTAGTGGGATATAATTCATTATAGTTGTTGTACTCCTTAATTTATATATGCTAGACTTCTAAGTATAATTATTCTAATATATATGATAATACTAATAAAAAAATAAGAGGATCTTTAATTAAGATATAATTATAATTATGTTTACAAGTTCACTAATTATATTTTATACGAGTCATCTTCTAAATTACTATAATTATATTTAAATTTCATATTTCACATTAGTCATATTTTAAATTAAGATTTAATTATAGGTAGTTTTTAAATTTTTAATTATAATATTATTAGCGTTCTATTCATATTAACAACTTTTTTTAGTTTTTAATAAATTTTCATAATTACCAAACTACAAAAATTCAACTGAATTACTAAGACACAAATACTATATATATAATTTCATTTAATATATTTTATGCAAAAAAACTAAATTCAAATTATTAAAATACTATAATCTAATGTATATAATTTTACTTATGAATAAAATTTTATTACTATCTAATATTCATTAATAAAAATTTTAAAATATAAAATAACTAAAAGTTATATATATATTATGTGCATTTTTTTATTCAAAGATATTAAGTAGCGTGGTGTTAAGGTAGATTAATTTTTACATAAAGGTCATGGATTGAACTCGCAAAAATCAGGTCGGAGAGGGTTTAAGAGGTTTTTATTCCACCAATTGTAATAGGAAAAAAGCTCAATTTGCCCTCCCGAACTTGGAGGCCATATTCGATTTGCACATAATTCGCCTTTTTAGCCTAGAAACTCACCATCTTACAATAAGCAGGGCAAAACTCCTTACAACAAGCAGACCAAGTTGCCCTATTTTTCCCTAGGTCAGCGCGTGACAAACGCATAAGGGGATGCGTCTGAAATATGAAAAATGGGGCTAAAAGATTTCCAATTACAGCTGTCTATCTCCCTCAATAACGTGTGTAAGGGAATAGTAGAAACATAATTCCTCCTTTAACATTATTGTTGCCCTGTTTGGCTCATTTATACTGAAATTGGGGAAAATACAAAACCTAAAACCTATTGCAGCAGACTTCATAAGAGAATCATATTGTCCATCTACAGGTAACTATCTTGCACCTTATTTAGGGTCAATTGCATGTCATTACATCATTATATATAGCTTTTACTAAATATCGAGAATTTTGTAGTCTTTTTTTTTTTTCAGTAACTCAGTTTGCATTGTTATATATGGTTTTTGATTGAACTATTGTATCTTCCACGGTCAAAATGTCTTATGAAGTGGAAGTAAGGGTAGTAATTCATCACAGAGGTGTATTTGCAGTCAAGAAAGGCAAGCTTAGATATGAGGGAGGTGAGGTTGAAGATTTTAATGTGAATGATATTGACAAGTTACATTATCGTAGACTTAAAAAAATAGTGGATAATGTGGCTATGGTAACAACTTTATAATTTATTGGTTGCCAAAAGGACATCGATTTAAAGAAGAATCCTTAATTAAAGTGAAAGATGATGTTGCTGTTCATGATATATTAATACCAGGTTATACGAATAATGATGTTATTCATCTTTATGTGAACATTTTATTGACACGCCAGATGTTGTGTACATGCATTTGTTGTCTGGCATTGAAACTGTAGTTAATAAAGAGAATGTACCAACTAAGGATGGGGTAAATACTTTGTTAAATAAGGATGTGCCTGTGATTGAACCTGAGATTGAAGCCAGTGCCCATGTCAATGAACCTGACTTTTAAGGTAATGTGCATGTGAATAAAGTTGAGTTTGAAAGTAGTGTGCATGTGAATAAGCTGAGATTGTGATGAGTGCATAGCTGATACTCAAAGGGCATTTTGGGTATATACCAGGAAAGGGAAGCCAGCTAAGAGAATCATCCTTGGGAATGAAGAAAAGAGCAGTTACACGTCAGGAATCATCCTTGGGAATGAAGAAAAGAGCAGTTACACGTCAGCATAGTTTGTTACTAATTCTGTGTATATATAGTGTACGGTTTGGGAAAGGGGGAGATCTTTTTCTATCATCTATGTAATCAGCATTCTTGCTATATCGGGCTCGTCCTGGGGGTTGGTTTAGCCAATCATTTTATCTTTTGTTTTCCTTTATTGCTTTCCCTAAACTCTTGTAATTCAGCAAGTTCAACAATACAAATTAATCCCTCTCTTCCCTACAATCTGTTTCTTCTATTTCCTGCTAAAATTTGATTCTCTGGGTTGTTAAACATTCACCGATTCTCCATTCATTGTCCGGAACTGCTCGGATCTGTCATAGATGCCAAGACAAGAATGGATCAAAGAGTAGAAAGCCTTGGAGAAGAAATGTGTGTCGCCTACCGAACAAATGCAAAACCAAACCCAACATTAGATGCTTCTCAAGCTCGACACAACAAACCTATTCCAGAAAATCTGACCCAAAACTTTAAACGAGATCAAAAAAACTCCTCCCACTCTACAGGGAAAGGAGCTTATTTCAATCTTTCAACCTTCTACACCACCCACCACAAAAACACCCAACAAACACCACAAACATTCCAACATGTCTACCCCAAATTCTCCAAAACCCACCAATCACAGACCCATCAATACGGATTCCACAAAATAACCAAAAACCCCACTATCCTCATTCAGTTCATCACAAAAGAACGACATGCCTTACCTTATGATGCGAAACGACCATTGGCGCGGACAGCAGAGCCGAGCAATTTTTTGAACTCCATTGGCATTCCCCCTTTGAGCAGATAGCTCAGGCATTTATGGAATGAAGGCCATCCCCCTTCACTGGTTGTTGTTTTATACGACACTGGGAACCCGAACATTGGATTGGGTCACCATGGAAATCTGGACGTTGTAAACAGATTTAGTTAGAGTGATTTACAGACCATATTATGAGGTTTAGTCGCAACCAAGCAAGAGAATCGGTGTTCAACTATTCAACGAATTTTGTCTTGAGGCACAGAAACTCTAGAGACTCTTCAGAGTCGCAGCTTGTCGCCATATTCCTTAATGGTTCTTACGGTCGCGAAATAACGAGTCGGGAAATTAAACCAAAAGACGCTCCGATCTTTATACGCGGTGATGCAAGCGCGAAAAGAATCGGATTGAGGCTGTCGTTCCATTTCTTCAATTGCCCACTCATCTCGCTTCAACCCGCGACCAACACCTTAAGAGGAGGGTAAGGCCCAAACCCAAAATCTATAATTCCACTCTTGACCCGAAACCATCAAATCAAACCTAAATCCCCAACCCATAAACCGGACCCATCACTACCAACCCCATTCATCAGATCTTACGGAACTCTACTAAGCAGCTCGCACCTCCAGCTCCAACAACCAAATCAAAACCACGCTGTTGCTACCAGAAATAGAGGCATTAAAAAAAAAAAAAACACTATTCCCACAGGAATACCAGGAATTAAGAGAGAAGGGTCTATTGTTTCAGATGTTAAGCAACCATACTCCTTCTCCATGTCTGGCCAAACAAATCCCTCATGGCCCTAATTGGTGGTGAGATCATGCATTTACAAAAAGAACCTCCTCCAACATTTTGACCATTGGAGATGAATCAGGTTTGCAAAACCACCACTAGAGGTTGAATGAAGCTCTTTTGCCCACCTTGAATTGCCTTTATTTCTCAGCGGGGGAATATCAAGCCCAAAACCATGAAGCTACATTGGTAAATTGTAACGCAAAAGTAGTAGTCATATGATCGACAGTGGAGCTAGCCACAATTTTGTCTAAACACACTTGATTAAACAGTTGGGGGTAATTGTCGACCAAACAATCCATTCTTTGTGCAGATTGGGGGATGGTACCGTCTCACAATCCTCTGGGGTTGCCGAAAACTGCTGTTAGATTTGGCGAACCTTGAAGTTAAGGAAGATTTTTACATTTTTCCACTCAGCGGAGTGGTATATTCTGGAGTTAGCATTGGCTTAGAGACTCTTGGGGAGTAAAAGTTGGTTGGCGTAAAGTAACTTATGAAAATTCCACATCCAGACGGCAAAGCACTCCTTCATCTGCGAGATCCTTCCCTTGTTCAGTCAACATACCAATTAGCCACGGTCTTATTTCTAAACTCCTTAAAACTGACTTTTTTGTGCTCTTTATAGGCGTTGCACAGATAAAACCCCCTTGGGCAGCCTCTACTGAGGCTAAATTGATCAGAAACAACAAGCTGAACTCGGAGAGTTATTTCACCAATTACAATAATGTGTTCTCTGAGATCTTCTACTTTCTTCCTCCTAAACGGTCAGCTTGATCACCGAAATTATTACTCCAACCGGGAACATGGACAGTATCTGTCAAGCCTTATTGCTATGGGTAACCATCAGGGAGGATGAGATGAAACGGCTTGTACAAGCAGATGGTCACGTGCTGGGGTTATTCAGGCCAAGTTCAGCCCTTTCTTCTTAGCCCAGTTTTTGCTGGTAAAAAAGAAGATGGAAGCTGGATTTGTGTCGATTACCGGCAGCTCAACATGGGTCACCATTCCTCAACAAAATACCCTATTCAAGGTGATCTAAGAATTTACTAGATGAACTTCATGGAGCCCAACTACTTTCCAAACTTGACCTGAAAAGTGGGTTCTCTTCAAATCCGGGGTAGCAAAAACCGAACATTGAGGAAGACAGCTTTCCGTACACAACCGGGCATTATTGGAGTTCTTAGTCATCCATTTGGGCTCACCAATG